TGGGCAGGAGACTGGACTCGATGACCTCTCGAGGTCCCTTCCAGTCCTAGAATCTATGAATCTATGATTTCATCACCAGTTATGAGGCTTATTTTCAAAAGAGAAAGCAGACTGATCAGAAAAGTTGTACTTTTTTCAGTGCCTGTCCTCAGCAGTGTTCTAGAAATACAAACACACTAACAAGTTACAGAGTTGTCAATAAAAGGCCATGTTAGATATACTAAAATCAAATCACAGCTTGTACCCAAAATCTCACAGAAGATTCCAATGCTGCTACTGCTGCATTCCTGAAAAGCTGTTATCCGAGTATGATGGTTTTAGGAAGCATGATAATTTATACTGCTTTAGCTAAAGATTGGTGGTAAATGTAAATGTAAGGCTTTGAGGACTGAAAAATGAGCAAAAGGAGCTCATCCTTCAAACTTGATCCAGCATTCCCAAGAGTAGTTTGAAGCAAAATTAAATATGACCTTAAAAAAAAATTAAATAATTCTCAGACTATGAGCTGCAGCCCATTCTTGAAATAGACTGAACTAGTGTGCTCCAATACAGTGTACAATTTAATTTTTTTTCATTGCCCCTGCCTCGTTTCATTAGCAGGGTCACTGTTCAGGGCATCAAACAACTCATACAAGAGCCTGGAAAAGCAGTTGTTTGTTTTCATGTAATAAAAAGATAAAAGGTCAAGGTGTATCCACAAAGTGCTTGCTCTTCACAAAAACAGAAGACTGATTTTTTTGTTGGCACTAAGAATTTTCTCACGCAGCTCTAGTGTTTTGTGGCTTAAAGCTATAAAACTTTAGATAAAAATTCCTGCAGTCTAATCCCTCCTATAAGCTGTTATCATGTGAAACCCTAAAACATCAATAATTTGCAAAAATCACTGAAGGCTATTTGCAGTCTTGACGTGCTCTCCAAAGGCTTCTGTTGTATTTAACCTAAACGAGCTGTCACAGAACACTATGGGCCTAATTTTCATTTACATTGAAACCAGAGCAGTGTAGAGACCTTAGTGAAAGTATGGCAGGAGCTCCAGGGCTTTCTCTGTCTAGTTGATGTCATTTACCACAGGCCCAGCAATTGTTAAGAAATCAACGTTTACCCACTGATCACACAGTGCTATCTAGTAGTCGCATTTTGTCAACATATTTGTCAGCATACTTTCTAAAAAATAAAACAAACTTTTGTACTACCAAGCTGGGGCTGGCCCTAGGATGGTGCTCTTGGAATATGGGACCCTGTCTGCATACACTCAAGGGCACATGTCTAGGCCATTGAAGCTGCTGCCAACCCCACAGTCATTTCTGTACTTACACTTTTTGGTGCTATGCATGTGGGGATCTGAGATAATACTCAAGCCCTGAGAGACTGTGCAATGCAGACATCAGGCCAGATCCAACGCTGGTGTGTGCAAACACAACTCCTCAAGTCAATGGAGCTCCACCAGGTATGAATTTACCCCATTATAGTAAAATGCATCTTGCACAAAAGAAACTATTGTTAATAAACAGTACACATGATGCCATAACAAAGTGATTTTATTGACATTCCTGTATAGTGATATGATTGAATAGAAAGCGCAGCCTGAGTATCATGTGACATTTTCCTGTCAATATAAGCAAAATCAGTCCAATAACGAGGACTTTTACTGCCATTGACTTGTATGAAGTCTTTAACAAAACAATAATAGACATTTCTTTTAGATAAATTGGAAGCTGCAGGGAATTAGGCTAATGGTACAATATTTACTATACCTAGTACCTACTATCTACAGGCATCTGTTTGTCTACTAGAACAAAGGGACTACATGACTCATTAGGAAGAATATAACAATCCAATTTTTTGGATCTTGTTATAGCTGGAAAACCTATCCCAGATTTGTAGTATATTGCAGTAATTTTTAATAACAAATTCCGAGGTACAGCAATAATAATAATAAGCACCACATTTGTTGTAGAAAGGTTTGTTGGTCTGCATGTGAGTGAAAGTGTTTAATCTTCACTGGGAAGCCCTGTTCATGTTGCTATGAAGACAGGCTGAACATTCATGATTTTAACATAAATTAATCAAAGAATTCTAAAGCCAAATTCATCCTGCTGGAACCCCATCTATATCAGCAGGATTAACACCAGGGATGAATTTAACCTGCCAGGTAATACCTAAGTATTCAAGTATATATACATATGAAAATAATGAAAACTTTTTTTATTTTTTGCTCAAAGGTCTTAGCTGACTCCTTCAAATTATGACCTTTTCTCTACTCCCTACCCCACCTGGTGTGATGATTTCAATCTCCAACTTTTTCCAATTGAGGCTATGTCAAACATTTGTTACGATGAAACCTAAAAAAACAAAACAGTCTGGGTTTTCAGTTTAGGTTGCAAATTCACAATTCGACCACAGTTAATTGAAATGTCATATGCACTTGAGCAAACTAGGGAACATTTATATTTTCTCATCATAACTTTACAAAACTCATGGTTTCTATGCAAAACTAAATGTAGACTGGCCTATTTACTTTCAGTTTTGTGGTGCCTTTGAACCCCAGAACTTAAAAGAATGTCATTTACAACACTTATCTGTTTTTCTCGCAGCCTAAAATCTGTGTATTGATACCAATATCATATTTTAGCATAATGATAGACCACAACATTTTAAGAAGAGAATTGAATGGGTTATGATTGGTCTGTGCATCTTTAATCTGCTTCACAGTAGTCTTCCTTGTGGAAAACCTTTTATTCCTTCCTGGGGAAGGGCCAAGAAAAAATGGCTCTCATGAATAACCCAAATTTTTACGATGAATGTGCAGACCTGTGGAGAGATCAGAATTCTCTCTCATTTATAGATAAGTAGTGGAATTTGAATTGAAGAACATGGGAAACAGTTCCTCTTGTGTATGTGTTTTTGAAATAAAAGGATCAATAAATGGATAAGACAGAATGAATAGGGTGTTCCTGTTGTGAGATGTTAACTATGCAAACCATCATAAGAAATGATATCCCAGAGATGTCAATGTGTGAAAATTACTTGAGAAGGACTTTATCAGGGGAAGAGAATTAAAAAGATAGGATCAGATGAAGTTTCTGGAGGAGAAAAAAAAGATAAAATATGGTGTTTTCTTTTCCCCGTTTCAATGTGTTGGTGACAAGTCTAGCAAAAGCATGTGTAGAAGGATTATGAGGACATGCAGAAAAAGAGTCATTTGGTTTCCCCTACTATTATTTTTGATCCAATAATATGCAGGGTGTTTCCATTTTGATGCTATCAGAATCATCTGAGAAAACAGCTTTTTTGAAATATTTCCATGCCGTGCACTTGCAGGAGTGCTTTTGCCAGAGATTTTGATGGAAAAGAAGCTGACCATGCCATATATTTTCTTTATCCAGAACACCAAGTTGCTTGACATGATAACTGTCAAGTATGTAGATGCCTACAACCTATTCTAACCCCTAGCATATGGCCCATGTTAGAACCTGATCTGAAGAAGGAATTCAGGAGCGAGTCTTTCTTGTTTCAGTCTGGGGCTAGATGCTGCCTGTGCAAATACAAATATCTTTTATTATGCTACAAAAAATAGTTTATTTTTTTAATAAAATACAGCTTTGAAATATTTTAATATTTTAAAAAATTCTAACTATACAGTTATTTAAAAGCTGGAATCCCCCCCCCCATTTTTATATTAGCGAGACAGCTCTTGATGTACAGTTTTCTTTCGCCAACCTGGGACCAACCAGATGGATACTTGTCTTTGCTTATTTTCTTGTACTGTTGAAGATAATGCATGAATATAATGCATGTTATTTTGTAATGATTCTATCAGGGATGAAACAGGGAGCTTGCACAAAAAATTGGCTTTTGGGACCCAACCTATGAGATGCTCCTACTGAATGGGGTTGAGGTTGCTGACCACGCTGCAGCATCAGAGCCAGAGCCTTTGTGGCAATCCTGGTATAATGCACTCTCATATAATTCACCCTGATGTAACAGATGCATAAAGAAACAAGTTACATAATTATTGTGAGCAATAACACCCACAATATCTGACTATATAACTGAGAGTTCTTTGGGACCGACGCTGTGTTTTTACACGAGTGTACAGTGCCTAGCACAATGAGGCCCTGATTCATAGTTGGGGTCCCTAGTGGCTACCATAATACAAATACATTAATAAATAATTTAATAAATAAATAACAATGTGTATTCTAAAATAAATACTTAAAAGAAACACATAATAAAAATACTGTTAAATGGCCATCAAATATTAGTGACGTAGAATTAATGGAGCACTTTAAAAATTCATATTCTGATTAAACCAAAATATAGTATTTCTGCTTAGAAGCATGTCTTTACCTGTCACTGTTAAGACATGCCCTAACTTTAAAATCAAGAAGAAAATCATTCAAAAATATTAGAAAACAATCATATACACATTAACGTATTAATAGCTAAATATGTCCGTCAGTAAAACGCGTGGAAAGGCTGGGCCTATGTTCTTTGAAGGGTAGGTTTATAAGAACAGAATGTGTTGGATGTTGAATTAGTCTGTAAACTTGACAGCTTTCTGAAGTATACAAGGCTGGCGCTTCCACCAGGCGACCCTAGGCAGTCCATTAGGGCGGCAGGATTTGGGGGGTGGCATTTTGCCACCCTTTGGCGGAAATTCAGCGGCGGGTGGGTCCTTCCGCTCTGGGTCTTCGGCGGAAATTCGGCGGCGGGACCCGCCGCCGAAGTGCCCCGAAGACCCAGAGCGGAAGGACCCCCGATGCTGCATGCTCAGAGGCGGAGCGCTGCCGCCTAGGGCGGCAAAAACCTGGCGCCGCTCCTGGAAGTATAACAATAAAATGAGCATAGTAACAGAGACACAGATGGGTGTGGTATCTGACTGCCATCCTTCTCACGTGAGCTATTGCTCCTATTAAGACAGAATTACCCTGTATATTTCACTTAGTTTTTGTTATGGGTAGTCTTTGACCCTATCGAGCTCACTTCACATTTTCCCAGTTAAGACAAACACTTTCAATCCACAATTAGTTTTGGAAAACAAGGGCAGCAAAGGTTAAAAGTTGGAGACAACCAGTGCTGTGGGTTTGATTGTAATAGCCTCAGCAATATGCATCAAAGACAAGCATGCTGCTGTGTGCCTTGCCTTTCCTGGCTTTGGAGCTGAAAGGTGAAGCCCACAAAATTAAAGAATTTGAGGTCTTAATTAGGCACCGCAAAAGAACTGGATCTTTAATTTGGTGGTACCTAATGAGGCCATGTGGGTCATTGAGCTTCACTCCAAGAAGAATTGCTACAAATGCTTAAGCAAAAGAGAGATACAATCTCGCTGCAGCTGCACATTTAATAGAACTTTGTCTAAACCCTTCTGTGCACAACCAATTCTGAGGTTATGGAGGTTTGCATTTGACAACAAAGGGAAAAAACAACAACCAGAAGTTAGCCCTGCCTGACAAGAAATAAATGGCTTCTGATATAAGGGACGGGATTGTCTATACTTCTCATTTGTAAGGATGTGTTTTAAACATCAGATAACAAAGAATCAGTAAACAGAATCCAAAGATATTAACAAGAACAGAACATTCTTCTTAGTCCCCTTTTCTTTGTCATGTACAATATTTAGGTGAGGGATCCTTGTCCTTTATGCTACATAATGAGACATCCTTCTTGAGTGTGCACAAATTTGTGCTTCTTGTGTGGTAAACATTACAATAGAGATGCCCCTCCCAAAATGTCTGAAGTGCAAGTTCTTTCCAGTACGGCAAGTAACCATCCATAGCAACCACTGGAATACTTTGCATTGCATTACAGGTTTTTTTTTTTTTTAATGTCTTATCTGCATCATTTGCCTGGGCCAGTTCCGGTTGATGTGGATCTTGAGTCCATGTATAAAAATTTCAGTTTTACTCATAGATATCTCTATGATGGACGATATGTACAGGAAAAACAAGGATGGATGAAAGAAACGCTTGACCACCTCCCAGGACTGAATTCAACTGGTAAGAAGTAAGATGAACTGTGGATTTGTTTAGAAGACACAGGCATATAGAAGCTTGGAATGGTTGATGAGGTTATTTATTTTTTAATCAACGTAGGTGGAAGTAAACATTTATCAACATTTGGTCAAGTGTAACATAACCTGCATTTGTATTTTCATTATTATTAATGGAGGTATGTGGAGACATACAGAAACCTTGAGACAGTTGTTTTTCTATTGCATACAGGAGTCCATTGGAAACTGAGGATGAAAGCATGAAGGTTAGATCTTAGGGAGGCAGTTCTTCATGCACAGCTTTTGTCAATCCTGATTTTTGTTTTCATAAATAAAAACATGGAAAACCAAGATCATATGATGGTGGGGAAGGAAGGTGACATCATCAGCCAGGAAAATATCAGAAGTGCCTGAATTCCCTCACTCAAGTCCAAACGTGCTAGTTTCTTCAACAGCTGTCAACAGCTTTTCATACAGCATAGAATAAGATGGGTAAGGTGGAAGATCCAAGCGGTTGAAACATGTGTGTGCCCTGCAAATGGAAAAATGCAGTGTGGTAAGTTTCATTTACTTTTAACAAATATATTAATGAGAAAACACTGCTTATTCTGACGGAAGTTCACTTATGTCCTCTAAATTGCTAAAAAGCTTTAATTAAATAAAGCCTGAGTGTTAAAATAAAAGCCCCTAAAATCTAAAGAGCCAGAAGATATTTTAAAAATATACATGCATCAATTTGAACTATATATATATATACATAGACAAACTAAGCATTAACAGAAAGTATCTGTATGACAGGCTAGATCCTGCATTAGGCCCAGATCCTGCAATGAGCTCCATGTCGGTGAATCCCCTGTGCAAATGTGGGGTTCACTGTGGAATTAAGGCCTCAGACTTCACACAGAGTAATATTCACTGGTGCCACTTTGGTTGTTTTGTGCTGTTCCAGAAATGCAAAGCAGCTATACATCTGGTATAAGTGGCTGGTTAAGCTCTGCACTACAGGACAGTTATAAAACGGTTGGAATGTATTGGTAAATTTGGCCCTTTAAGTAGAGTAATAAGACAGGACTGACAACTGTAGGTTCAGAGGGAAAACAGGAAACACTACAAAACCAACTGGTTTGGGTGCCTGAAAGAGGAAGGTCTCTAGAAAGCAGAATGCTGTTTCTGTAACTCACTTGTTATAAGGCTGGGTTTTAAATATTATTATTATTTTTTATTTGTATTACTGTAACGTCTCAGAGCCCTAGTCAGGGATGAGGACCCCATTGATTACAGTCTATAGGTACCAACATGAGGTATTAATATTTCATAATGGGCTCTACAGTCTAGCAGAGAAAGGAATAACAAGATCCAATGGCTGGAAGTTGAAGCTAGACAAATTCGACTGGAAATAAGGCATATATTTTTAACAGTGACAGTAATTAACCATTGGAACAATTTACCGAGTGTTGTGGTGGATTCTCCATCACTTGCAATTTAAAATCAAGATTGAATGTTTGTCTAAAAGATCTGCTCTAGGAATTATTTGGGGAAGTTCTATAGCCTGTGCTGTACAGCAGGTCAGAATCTATGTATTGGGCTAGGCATCATACAAACACAGACAAGATGTCCCTCTCACAAAAAAATTACAATTTAAGCCAGTTGATACATTTTTCAACAAAATACGGGACACATTTCCCATGAAAAATATCCCCATTTTCCACCAATTCTAGTTTTAAATCACGCTTGAATCGGGGGAAAGATTTCCATTTGTATTCCGGCTTTGCTAAATCTTTTACTATTTCCTTTTCTTGTAGTAACCCTGGTGATCAAAAATCCTCAAGATTTAAAACACTTTTATGGGAGCAGGAGGAGGCCCCAAGAACGGGAGGCTAATCCTAAATTACTAACAAAAATTGTTCCAGTCAGTTCAGCATAAAAATGCTATTTGCTTTTTAGTTTTGAAACACACTGACCTTTACAAATACCCCCAACAGCCTCAAAACCATGCTAATTAGTAATCCATCATGCTGTGCTTAATCTAGCTCTGTAGGGAGTGCACATATATGTCTCCTTTCCCCCCAAAGCCCTAGGCATGGTGATGAGTGTTGTTCATGTCTGGTATTTCATATCCACATCAGGCCAGATCTTCAGCTACTGTAAAATGGCAGAGCTGCAATGAAGCCAATGGAGCTATGGTGATTGTTGAGAATCTGGCTGCTGGTATTTTTAGAATCTATTACCTTGTTTTACTTCCAGCTCTCAGATCTCATCCTTTAATACATGTTATTTCCTATGAGCTGAAGCAGAAGAGCCCTTCCTAAAGTGGACTCCCTCTTATCCTCTGCTGCTCATTTGTTAGGCCAACCAAAAAAACCAGGCTGAAGGCAGATTAGTTGGCATGAGACTTGTAGAACTGAAAGGGGAGATTTATCAAGCACCCACGGTGAATCATTAAAAGCTATCAGGAAATTGAAACAGCCAGAGGCATAGTCTCCATTGCACTGCAGCATTTCAATTAGGAGAGCTTTTACTAGTTTTTCTGAATAAAAAATTGTAAACTGGTTATTCTCTGAGAGAGTATGCAATAAAAGCAATTTCCTTTGGAAATGAACTGGGAACATAAAGGAGTTAGAGAAATAAATGAACCTTGATAAAGTCATTATTATAATACATTTCACAAGTTAGTGCATCGTGTGGTGTATGCATTAGAGATGAGTAGCCTTCTACCATTATTTGTGTTCCTCAGCCATCCCCACTAAGCGCTACCAATGCGTGTCAACCCTCTTCAGGAGCTAGAAGGTGGTTGAGTTCCCTTGGTCCATTCAGTCACCGGACTCTGCTGAGACTAGCAGCAAAAGTGCTGATTAGTGCTACCTGCAATGGTGTTTACTGTGATATGGACACCTGTCCACTAGGAACTGGATTGAGATAATCAAACTCATTTCAGTCAAGCCAGTGAGCAAGCTTCTGATGTTAATGACTTTCAGTCACTCTTCATCTGGGCCAGATTCAGAGCACAGACCTACTTGTTTTCCTATTACCAGTTCTCCGAAACAAAGTACCTCAAAACTGAAGCCATTATTAACCTTTTGAGTGTCACACATAAAGAGCATTTAGGGGCAGAGAAGAATCTTCTTTGTGTCATTCCTTTACAATTTGAATGGAAGGCAAGGTCCTAACATACTGTGTGTCCTCAGAGCCATACAAATGGCCCTTCGTTGGACATACAAGCAAACATCGGATTACGGGTTTGTACAGGACAAAGGCTTATGTAGAGGAGGACAGCCGGGTATAGCAGATTATTACAGGGTCATATAATGGGGGAGGAACTACTGGAGGGAAAAAAGGGAAGGGAACCTCAAAATGTCTGGAGATGTTTGGACATTTATCCAAACAAAACATTTGTACCCTCTATCCCAAAAGTATCTGTCATACAAAAAGATCCCCAAACAACCAAATAAAAAAGGGAAACTCTCAGGCCAACTACCAGGCAGGTACCATACATTGCCAAAGGACAAAATATGGGGTTAAATTCTGTTCTATTAATCTATGTAGTCAGCCCAGTTTTACACCAGTGTAACTAAGAACTAAATTTTCCGTGTGACCTTCTGCAGCGTTGTAAGTGGGCCAGCTGTCATTTCCTGTTCTTTGTTGCAAGGGCCAAAGTCTGGGGACAGGCTTGATGTGCTGGGCCCAGGGTGTCAAGTGTCTGCTTATGTAATGCAGTGACAAGTTCTGATTTTTGGTTTGGGGAGGGGGATAGACCGGAGGAAGATAAGCCTTCCCTGTTCCTTCTCAGTATTGCTGAGAAGGCATTAATTTTGCTTCTTGCAGCTGAAAGTTGAAACCCTTTCCTTTTCCAGCTGAACCAAAAGGCATTCAACTCAGCGCTTGGGTTGTTTATATTATATGTTATGTGATTCCTAAGCACCTAGGTCAATTAAGAGGCAGGGACATTTTCTGTAATGTCACAGTCCCTTAACTTTGTGCCCAATCCTGCAAGGGGCTGAGCACCTCCTAAGGTGTGCTGAGCAGCCTTTATGGCCACTGATGTCGCTGTAATCAGAACATGGCAGGAGAGGCTCAGCATTTTGCAGTATTCGGCCCTTTGTGTGTATTGGAGTGGAAATGCTGCATGAGCAAGGGAAGAAACAATAATTACATTTTGCGAATAGGCTTTCTTCTTTCAGTTACGCCTCTAGCTAGTCCTGTTAGCCTGTTGACATTTATGAGAATATATTCAGCAAGTATGAGGACCCAAACTCGAAAGAGCAGAGTATTTACATCTTTATGACACTGACTCCTACACTTTTAGAAGAAAACATAAGATAAAGTAATCTAAACTATGGCCTACTTATCATGCTCTTGTCTTGAAGGGAGAAAAACTATCAACTGATAACTTAAATTTCTTTCTTCTTTGCAGTCTGTAGTTATAACTCCTGGTAGTTTGTGGGGGTCTGAATCTCTAAATCTCTTAGTGTCTCCACTGCTACTTCTCTCCTTTTAAATGTCCTCTCTAAAAGTTACATGTAAGCTTTTAAGCTCTTGGCATTCTTCTTCGTTTGTCACTTCCCTTAATCTTTATAATGCTGACAGTCCAAAGGCAGCAAATGCACACACAACCCTCCCCTGTCAAACTTATGGATTTAACCCGTCAGCTGTAATAAGGCTTGCTTTCTGACAGAACAGTACCAGAGAGACAGAAATGGGCCATTTGTTCCTCTCACCTTGCTTTTTTAGGGAGAGGTACTAACTCCCAGCCACAATCCTCAAATCTCTCAGATCTTCCATACACATATCTGCGTTTTCTTCTCTTTGTTTGTGAAGGGAAACACTCAATGGTTCCTCTTGGGAATTTTTTGCTTAAGAAGTGACCTGGGGCTCTAAGGTTATATTTCTGTTGTCTTCAACAAAAATGGTTTATGCTTCCTTTACTGGAGGACCAGTTTTCCAAGGGTCACATATCTGAATCAGTTTGTGCCTTGGATATTTGACTGTCCTAGTAACATTTTATTGTCAGCATGAAATTTTGCCAAACATATACATAATGAGAATATAAAGAACAACAATATAGGAACTATACTTTGAATAGGAGAATTATGTTATATCCCATAATCATCTCCCTTAGACTGAACTGTAATAGGGTGATTAGGAGAGAGGAAGGGACTCAAGAAGGAAAGAGGGGAGGAGGAGGAGGAGAAGGACCAAGGATTAAAAAAATAACAAAACAAGCAAAACTAACACACACACCACTAGGAAAGGGGGAAATGATGAATTTATATCCTGTTATTTGTACATCCAGTACCTTAATTGTTATATGGCAGTTCTGGATATTATGATGATAGGTGTCTAATAAATATTTTAGGACCTAGAGATATCATTTATGTAAGATCAAATATGTACTGATAATCTGCATATGCTAACTGCAGACAATATGCTGGTATTTATAAATTACTTTGTAGAACTAAAATCACTTTCAAGGGAAAGTCAGCTAATTCTCTATATTGATTGAGAAAGTAAAGGCCTCTGAGGTACAGATTATTT